ATCTGGGTTCAGGGGCTACAGCAGGGATGTCCACTGAGAAAACTGGGAGCAACCCAGCCTGGTGGAGCCCTGGTTGCTAGCAATAGGGAAGGACGTAAGCAGGGCCTTGTGTGCAAGGCTGGAGCTGGGTATGGGCTGCCCCAAACTAGACTCTGATTGGGGGACAAGGCAGGAATGTAGAAGAGAAAGATCCTTGATAGGTCTGCATTAGCAGAGAAGGTTTGGGAACCACTGAGTAGGATAGTCCCAGGCAGAAGGCGGAGAGAGCGTTCCAGGTTGAGCATGTACCAAACACTAGGTGGGAATGAAGGTGGTTTGCCATGGAGTGAGGAGCCTGTTAGGGTGCCCTGTTGGGGAGAAGTAGAGTGGAGTGGTGTGGTAGGTAGGATGGCCCTTTGCCCTCCTCAGTAGTAGAAGGCTTGGGGTTTTCATGTCCATCTTACTCATGGGTCCTCACAGCCAGGCTTCTAATTAGTCTGTGCTATGAGAACAGATCATGTTTTCCAGAGACTTGCATCTCCCTCAAGCCTGGCCCATCCCTCTGTATAGCCCCTCTCCAACAGTGTATCTCTTAAGTAAACTTTGGGTTTCTGCAAACAAGCTTCCTGTCTGTTGTGATTGATTTATAGTTAGAGGAGCTGCAGAGATAAATACCACAGAGACCCCTGTAGGATCAACCGCAGAGTCTTCATTTCCTGACCTGATAACAGTAAAAAAGGTAGCCAAGCTAATGTATATGAACATAATGTGATGTATGGATGCTAAGGTTGCCTGAATATCTTTTCTTACCTTCAGAGCACGTGGGGCTCTTTGCAGGGGTAAGGGCTTCTAGTTCACTTAATGAGGTGTCCTGGACGATGAGTCCAGGAAGGAAGGACACAGCTTTGTCTGTTGATAAGAGAGTGTTGGTGTTTCTCCTGTGAGCACCGTCTGTCCCCTGAAGAGAAGCTGAGTACATCAGAAGTTACTTTTTCTATGATGAGAACTATCCATTTCTCAGAAGAGGCTGGGTGCAGGTCATGGGTCAAACAGGGCCCAGCAGGCTTTGGTTTGTCATCCATACTTGGATTCAGGGTCAGCTTTCAAGTTGGTTTGTCATGTGACAGGCTGTTTCCTGTTTTCTTTTGAGTAAATAGGTAGAGGACATTTCTCAACTTCTCTTGGCCATGTGATCAAGTACTAGGTGACGGATCATGGTTAGTAGTATGCCTCATGTCCAGGTCTGGGTCCTGAAAACCTCCATGTGTTTTCCTCCATGGCCTTTTTCCTTCCATGGTAACCATGGGAATTGTGATGGATTAGTGGGAGTGTGGATCCATGAATCATCCTGTGGAGAAGCATTGGCCAGTCATGGAAACCCACTTGGGACTTTTCATGAGTAAAAAATAAGCTATAGGGGCTTATTAGGGCAGCTAGTGCTGCCCTCATCAGTACAAATATCCAATGCCAGTTCTTCAAGATGGTGGTCTTTTTGCATCTTATGCACATTGTTGTCATTTTTATTAACTTTACTGAGCACTCAGTGGGTGTCAGGCCTTTACCTTGTATTTAATTTTCTTATATTCTTATTAGAGGCCCGAGCACGGAATTCATGCACAGGTATGTTCCCTAGGGCTGGCTTGCAATTTGGGCCATCTTCCCTGGCTACCTGAAGCTGGTCCAATCCTCTGCCACTCCCCACCCCCCGGTTCCCTGTTCACTATCTGGCATTCGAGCCTGCTGGTCAGTGTGCCTCATAGTGACTGGTTGAGCAATCATTCTGGTGGTTCTGCCGTTAGGGTCAATTTGCATATTACCCTTTTATTATATAGGATATGCATGGTCTTATTCAACTCTTTGAGGTCTATTCTATCATCATTTCTACTTGACTGATGAGGAAATAGACTCAGGGGCTATATCATGTGCCTGAGGACACAGGCTATGAAGAGCAGAGCCATGACTTGAACCAGATCAGTCTGATTTTGGAATTTGAGTTACTAATTTCAGTGCTCATCAGCCACTATCCCCACATTGGATCCTGGCCATAGCTTCCCATATTTCCTTCCCCTCTGAAGAGCAGGATGGGCCTGCACATTCATGGGTTTATCTGGAGACTGCAAGTTACAAGTTGATATTCCCAAATATAGCTGGATGTCATCAGGCTGCATGGCTTAGAATTATCATAGCTCTGGCTGCAGCTTGGGGACCTATAGTTAGAATTGCAAAAAGAGCATGGGGAGGGATGAGCAATAGAATCTTGCAGGATAGCCTCCCTTGGGGAAGGAATAAAGACTTAGATCTGCTTTATCAGAGAGAACTGGACTCAAATTTGAGACCTGAAGATCTTCATTGAGCAGAGTGGCACTTGAGGGTCCATGAATTTTTAGATCTTTCCTGGGACCCAGAGAACCAGAGATGAATTAACTACAGTGCCTGGCATCAAGTAGCTTGCAATTAGGTAAAGTTGGGGAGGGAGGCACACAGATATGTGCCAGGATATGTACTATGGGAACATGAAGCAGATAGCAGTTCCAGTCCATGGCCAGGTCCAAGAAGAGGGTTCATGTGGGCACAGTTTGGTTGGCAGGAGAACAAGCAGCAATAACAGCATGTATAAAGACATTCTGGGCACAGCATCACAGGTCAGGAAGTCAGGGGCAGCCTGGGGCATCTGAATCCAGGCAGGGTGGCAGGAAGCAGTGCTGCGGAAGCAGTTGAAGGATGTTGTTTGTGGCTGGCTTAGGCAATGAAGAACTAGCAAAGTGGGCAAGGATCCTCTAGTGTTTATGGGACCAGACTGGTGCTGGGGAAGTAGGTAAGTAATAGAGCTGAATCAAGGTGGGGGTGGGGTAAAGAGGCTTAGAAAGTTCCAGAGGTGGGCTCAGCAGAGTTTGGCTAATGATTGGGTGCTGGGAAGTGAGCAGAGAAGTGGGGCCAGGTTGACTCTCTCTTGGTAGCTTGATGCATGATGTTGCTGGTGATGGAGCTGAGAAACTCTTGAGAAGAGATGAAGGCACCTATGGCACTTCCAAGTGAGCCCTTGCCATAGGCAATCAGAACAGAGCTCTGGGACTCAACAGCCAGATATGCACTGGGCTGGAGGCATGGAGGCCTGTGAGTTGCCAGCATGTGGATGATGTAATGACTCTTTAAAAATCCTCACCCAAGGATATTCTTTCCATTGATTTTTTTTCCTTTTTATATATAGAGAAAAGTGAAGGGAAGAGGGAGAGAGAGAGAGACATTGATGTGCAAGAGACATATTGATTGGTTGCCTCCTACCAGGGCTTGGGATCAAACCCACAACCATAATACATGCCCCTTGACTGAAATTGAACCTTAAACCCTTTGGTCTGAGGGCCAACGCTCCAACAACTGAGCCAAACTGCCCAGCGTGATGTAACCACTCTTGGCTAGATTCAGAGGGAAGCACCAATAAGAACGGGCTGAGTTGCATTAATCATCACTGACTACAGGCCTCTCCTAAAGCCTAACCTCAGTTTACCAGTAAGTGGGAGACCTGCCCATTTGGTTCAGTGGTCAGAGCATACTAGTAAATGTCCTCTAGGAAAAGCTTGCCTGGTGCCCCTAAATAGGCAAAGGCCTCATCACAGCCTCTCCTAGCACCCTGCGCTGGCCTTTCACCACTACCATTTAAATGACTGTAGGGTTTTTGTCTCTCTCCCCCACCTCCTCTGCGAGAACAGGGACCACACTGTGTTGTGCACTGCTATTTCCATTCCCTAGCACAGGTCCTGAAGAGAATGCATGGTGACCTGAATGCTTTTAGCAAGCATTTCAGACTTTACTGTGTGGTGCTACTCCAGGAGCACAGTCATGGGCAGATCCAAGAACTTGCAGTCTGATGGGAGAGATGAGGGTATGTGCCCATGCACGAAGCACATGGGAGCCTAGAGGGTGGAGCATCTGAATTCGAGTCCTTGGGGAAGGGTTGGCAGAGGGCAGAAAGCAAGTATGAAGGATGAAGGACCTAGCCAAAGCACAACTACTACAGAGGAAGGCATTTGGGGGGACTACACACAACCACAAGAAGTACAAAATAAAGCTGGATGGGTGTGCCAGGCCTAGATTTTAGGGCATTGCTTGACAGGCCAAGGGTCCTGATTTTTATCTTGCAAATTTGGCAGCCAGTGAACACTTTAAGACCAGGGTTATGAAATATTCAGACTGTGTGTTTAATGATAACCCTGTCCATGGAAGGAGGTGGATTACAGGAAAGGGGGCCAGTGGTGGGAGACCTTTTCCGGAGACATTTGTGATCATTCAGTTAAGATAATGATGACCTGGATCTAGTCAAAGTTGGGTGGAGAGGAGAGGACCCCAAAGAGGTGTTGAAGAGGGGACATCCTCTGGACTGAGTGTCATTTTGGATGGGAATGGGAGGAGCAGGGAAGGAAAAACACTTTTCTAAGGGCAGGCCTGTTGAGCAGACTGGAAGTGTCCAAGGGCCTCTTATTCCAATGTGGCCACCCACTGAGCTCCTACGAGCTGCCCTGCCTCTCACAGATTAAGGATTGTAAGGTACAGATGCTGCTTTCATCAAAGAGCATAGGTCACTGGCTTTAAAGCTTCATTCTAGGACCGCTGACATTGTTTTTATTTTCTTTTACGAAGACTTCAGCAAATTTATTAGTTCTGGCCTCCAGTATATGAGAACGCAATTATTAAACAAGTATGTAAAACACAGCCAGGAATTCCCGTTTTCTTTTATATCATGCTGCATAAAAGCAAGATACTTAAGAACAGTCACTTTAAGTGGAAGGGGCTGATAAAATTGATGTCATGGTATAAAATGTAAAAAGCTAAGCCATTCTCTCTCCAGGGGCTGCAGCACCTCAGTATAGAGTATCAACAGGGCTTGGAGGGCTGCTTGCTGGCAGGACCTATTTCTCCCAGGGGCCAGAGTATAGGGGAAAGGGAAATGGCGCTGTCCCAATGATCCTGATGGTGTCCCCTTGCTTCCCCAGTGTGCTTACTGATCCAGCTCCAGGACCGCCGCCATGTCAAGCCGAGGCGGGAAGAAGAAGTCCACCAAAACATCCAGGTCCGCCAAGGCAGGAGTCATCTTCCCTGTGGGGCGGATGCTGCGGTACATCAAGAAAGGCCACCCCAAGTACAGGATTGGAGTGGGGGCGCCCGTGTACATGGCCGCTGTCCTGGAGTACCTGACAGGCGAGTACCCAGATCAGCTGTGACACCACTGGCAGTTCTGACAGCTTTTTTGTTTGTTTCTTTTATTTTAAAACTTTTCAAACCTATAATAAAGGTCTAAGAATAGTATTCTGAACATTGGAGACTCTTAGAGGAGACATGCCCGGTGGCACGAACTAGGCATGATTCTTCCTTCTCACTATAGAGATAAACAGAGGTCCAGAATTTATGTGGCACATGCTGGCAGCCATGCAGAGACCACAGAAGTCACTAGATATGAATCAGAGGGCATTTTCTAGTTTTGGCTTGGCAGTTACATGCTGTAGGACCTAGCGTGAGCCAGTTAACCTCCTGGACCTGTTTCCTTACAACTCAAATGGGTACAAGAGTTCTCCACCAACTCCAGACTGCCGTGAGAGCCAAAGGGGCTTTGACCATAATGGGAAAGCCGACGTGATGTGCAAAACAGCCAGCCTGTGTTTTCTGGTTTCCAAATGCCATGGTACTCCTATCACTGGAGTTTTCATAGACACTGTCATTAGGTCAAGTACAACATCAGTTTAATTTCTTCCATCAAGCTTCCTCTTTTTAGTTTTCAGAGCGTGGGATGGGGGATACCACAGCTACATCATCTCTGAGACAACTAGTGTCTGCACAGCAAACCTGTACATTTTCCTTGTCTGTGCCTGGCTGGCTCTAAAACTGAGGTTATGAGGTCACAGTCAGCGGGTCTGTTCTCATGGCGTCCAGAGACCTTGATCCTGTTTGCACCCACATCTGTCACTCCTGTCCCCAGATACCATAGGTGTTTGGTAGTGGGAACAGCCAGGGCAACCTGTTACTAGAGCTGGAAAAGTAGTTTACAGCAAATCCTTACTCTCATATTAGTCAAGTTAACCCCTTGTACATATTTACTATGTAGGTGTACCAGTTAATAATGCAGATTTTGTAATCAAAACACGATAATTTTAAGAGAAACATCAAAAGTGCTTTATTCGAAGTATTGTCCATCACTAGCTACACATTTCCCCTATATTTCAGATAATTAATGCATATCATCTCAATAGAACTTTCCTTGTTTTGAGGCAAACCATTCTGAGACCCAATTTTCCACTTCTTCGTACATTTTGAAGTGCTGCTCAGAAAGGGCATATGCCATCGATCGGAACAAGTGGTAATCTGAAGGAGCGAGGTCTGGTGAATACGGCGGGTGGGTTAATACTTCCCAGGCAAGATCTTTTAACTGGTTTTGAAATGTGTGATGGCGCATTATCATGAAGCAAAGTTACTTTGCTGTGTCTCCCGGCCCATTCTGGTCGTTTTACAATCAAAGCATGGTTCAAATTGACCTGGACATTCTTTGTCTTTCACATTGAAATCATCACTTTTAAAGCGTTTAAACCAGTGTTCACAAGTATCTTGAGATGGAGCAATGTTCACCATAAGCTTTCCGAAGTATATACAATAACTTTCAGCAGCACTTTTCTTTAAAATAATGAATTAAAACATCGTAAATGCTCTTTTTTTTTTTTAGCATGAAATTAGACATTTTTAAGCGTAAAAATATCTATGATGTTAACACCTTCAGAAAATTTGACATAATGAAGTTTTGAAGCTTGTTGTCAATACAACAAAATAGTGTACATATCAAATTGCATATATATCAACATATGTGTAGCTCCATCTACTGAAAAAAAATCTGCATTGTTAACCGGTACACCTAGTAAGTTTTAACAAGACCTTCCATAAAGCTATAGTTAGCTGAATCTGAACCATTTTTTTTTGTCTGCACACAGTGGTGCGTCACTGGCATGACCATCGCCTAATAGCCTGTCCCCAAATGGTGCCGGGCCTGCATGACTGGCACCTCAAGAGACATCCTGAGTTAGCAGTTCTGGTCACTGCTGTGGTCGCTTATGTCCTGTGTCCTGATGATACGATAGGAGCTGTGTTCTGGGGCCACGTCCAGTAAAAACACGGCTTCATTCTGCTTCTTAGAACGGTGCTGCACACCCACACTCACTGTTCTCAGAAGGTGACCTACCCCTTAGGCTAGAGCATGTGGATATTTGGAAGTCCTGGGCATCTGCCCACTCAAAACTTTGGTTTTGGTCCTTAAGAAAAAGGAAAGGTGACCAAGATCTCTATTCTGTTATTTGCTTTTGCTTTAATTGAAGACCCTTTCCCATTCATTCCACATAGTTATTGAGTACTTAATGTGTTCCAGGCACCATGCTAGACTCTGTATGAGAGCTTAGGAATGTTGGGGGCAGAAATGGTCTCTGCTTTTTGGAGTTCACAGTTTATTTGGGAGAAAGAACCAACCAACCCAGATGTTTACTGACTTTGGTAAGTGCAGTGAAGGGCAACCAGTCTTGTGAGAGATGGGAGAGGGGCTCTGCCATCTGCTCATCTGTGCTGGATATACCTCCTGGGTGCCAGCCAGCCTCTTTTGAGAGCTTGGGGAAGATATCAAAAGAGGAGGAAGCCAGAGTACCTGCCCCTAAGTAGCTCAGGACAAGCTAATCAAGATCGTGGCCAGATACAAGGCATGTGAGGGAAGTACCATCATTTAGCAGGTCCTCACTAAGAGTTGTGATGTGTCTGGCACTGGAGTATAAGCCCAAACAAGACCTATCCCCACCCCAAGGAGGTGTCTGTCCAGGGATAGGACCAGGTAAGAGAAACTTGGTGATGATGCAGGACCACCTATTCCATGAAAAGGTGTCAAGAAACATTTCCTGGAGGATATGTATTAATCAGCTAACCAGATTGGCCTGCTTGTCTAGTTTTCACCCAAAGGGTGCTATGGAGGGATTGTTTTCTTGTCTGCAAGGCCCAGACCCTCACAGGTGGCAGACAATTGCAGGTATGGTGATGGGGGTATGCAACACAAGGCTCTTGGAATGTCTGGGCCAGACCTCCTCCCTTCAGAAGGCCCCCGTGGAGAGATGAGCGGGGGTCTGGATGCTCAGGGGCTTCTAATAGGATTGCTGAACTAAGAGCCCACCTAGGCCTAGGCAGCTCTTGAGCAGGTGGCCAGCGCTGGGGAACACATGGGGTGCCATGATGTTCAGTGGAAATCAGGTGGAGGCAGTGGAGCTCAGCAGTTAGGAGTGCGGACCTTGGTGTATGAGCTGCCATTTCTTAATTGTGGCTTCACGCAAATCACATCTCTGAGCTGTGGTTTTATTGTCTGTCAACTGAGGATAACAACAACTCATAGGGTTGTCATGAGGCTGAAATGAGTGGATGCACGTGAGTAGCTTTGCCTTGCCGGCACAGTGTCCATGCCCACATGCTATTACATTAGGGTTAAAGCAAAGAGAATCAGGAAGTCCCTAGTCATTCTGAGGTGACTAGGGGTTGTCACTTCCCTTAGGGATAGTGATGGAAGGGCTAGTTTCTAGCTCTGAAACTTGAAGCTTGTGTCTTTCTCCTCTTGGGTCCAGAACCCAGTCATCTACTGAACTTAAAAGGAAAAGTCAACATTTGGAACAAGTTTGAATCTGATGACCACACAGCTCCTTCCTCAAATCTCTGTGTGCCTGGCTCTGCAGCACTGCTGGACTCTGCCCAGAGCTTTTCCTGAGGAATATGAGGTTGTCTGCTGTCTTTTCAGGCCTAGGACTATGTGGGCTTCATGCCATCTCTACCTTCTAGCCTAAGGGATTATAGTAGCCCCCCACCTTTTGGGGTTGCTGTGCAGATTAATATTGCATCACATAAATTTAGCCAGCAACCATAGTAAACCCTCAATAAATGATAGCTAAAAATAATGTCATGGAGAAACAGGCAGTTTCTTTGAGGAATCATCTTTGCCTTCATAGTTCTGTGGCCTTTTTTCTTAACTGATGTTTAAAAGCAACTTGGTTTAGTTCAGTCCCCTGTGCCTAGCACAACTCTGCACATGCTGGAAAATATAGGAGGTGCGAACTAAGAAACATGACATGGCTTTTGCCCCAGTGAAATTTCCATTGATAATGGGGGACATACATTCCCATAGAACAGCAAGGGAATAGGCAGATCTGAGCGATAAGGTACTTGAGTCTCAGAGTGGGGAAGTGGGGGAGTGGAGGGGTGATAATTGTGTGGAAGAGGAAAGAGCAAGCACATTTGTGATCCAATGCTCTCAAGTCACAAGTCCAAGACATTCTGAGTCAGTATTGCTCAGATTATATTCAACAAAACCATGGTGTTTGGTGAAATTGAAGAGGTAGTACACCAAAAAATAGGGCTCTATGGCTGACATGAGGAGACAGTGAGACTTTCATTCCCTCTTTTGAGATGGATATATGAATGACTTTTGATAAGTTCCTCAGTAAAGGTACTTGTTTTAGTTTGGGATTCACCAAGAAACAGCTTTTCTTACTATAGGACTTTTCAGAGCCTTTAACAGACTGGTGTCATCCTGAATCTTCAAGGAAAGGAAATGTGATATGTTTTGATTCCCAAACTTATATCACAAATCCTTTCAAGAAATATCTTTAAACGCCATGCACACAGTACAGTGTAGGGGACACTGTTGTGGATTAAGCTCATGAGGAATGGCACTATGAGCAATGCTAATGAAGAAATAAAATCGAGAGCAACTATAAAGAATGAATTTTGGTCTGGCTTCTGTGGCATAGGCACAAAGCTTGACTCATGGATAAGGAACCTCAATCTTCCTCCTCCATCCACATCTCTAGACACAGAAGTCACTTCAATATTTGCTAGGGGAGGTAGAGACTTGGGAAGCTGTGCATTTTTTCTGCTAGGCTGAGTCACTCAGGCACTGACTCAGGAAGGGCCTATCACCCACCAGGCCTGTGCTGGACACTGAGATACATGACAAGAGTCCCTGCCCAAGGAACTTACCTTGGGCGGATGTGCCTTTGGAGCCATTTTACTCCACTCCTGAGAGAACAGGCCTGGTTGCCATTCATCAGGTCCAAAAAGATATCTTTTTCTTTTTGGGGGTCCAGAAACCCCATTACATAGCCTGATCACAGACCTTATTCTACAACTTACCTCCTAGG